TAACAAAGGAGTCATTCAACTCTACTTAAAAATTAACTTTACTTAAAAGTCATTAACTTTACTTAAGATTCACTCAGTGACTCTAAATAATAACAGTAATAGTGGAAGTAGTGATAGAATAGTAGTCATAAACATAATAATGACTCAAATGCACATAGCAATTAGGAAGTGCTGGACACTATGCTTAGGACAGTAATCCTTACATTTAGTCATTTCCTCATTTAATCATTCCATCTACTGCATTTAATCCTATAGTTACTTGGTGAAGAAGGTATACTATTACTCTCATTTTACAGATATGGAAACAAGGTACAAAACTTAAGTAATTTATCCAATATCACAAGGCTAGTAAGTTATGGGGCCAAAATTCCAGATTTCAGAGAAAAAAATAATCATTTTGTTGATGGAATTTAACTCTAAATAGAATTAAGGACAAAATAAGTGCAAATCATAATCTTGAAATTAAAGAAAGAACACAAAAATATTCCTTATTTTCTTCCCTTCTAAAACCAGAGTCCTTAAAATACATTTAATTTACATATATGAAAAGAGTACCAATATACCAAGTTTACCTAATTTTATTTTCCCACCGTCTATTCCACAAATAAGCTTTTTTTTTTTCTAGCTCTTAAAGGTGAGAAGTGAACCACCATATCCATATAAATTCACTATGGGACTAAGACCTAGGCTGCCTACATCCACATGACTTTATTATTTGTGCCAAGAAATTCTTGCCACAAAGATAAGGCTGTATCAGTAAATAACTTCATTGTTTGCTTCAGGAACTGCCCCCAAAGCTCACATGCCCCAACAATAGACTGCTCAAACAGCTCCCTTTTTATAATATTCCCTTAGCTGAGAAAAAAACTGTGTTTAGGATCTTAGTGAAGACCCTTTCCTCACTATTTCCACTAATCCTAAACTATCATATGCTGGGCTTTACCAGTTTCAATCAGATCAATGCACTGTTAGACCCACATTAAATCACTCAAGGTCATACTCCAACTCCCCGATATCTGCCCATGATCTCTCCATTATCAGGTCTACTAAAACTCTATCAAGGTGTGTTCCCTTTAGAGTAAGCAATAAACTTAATTTTGCATGATCACAAGACTATTCCTAGGGACTTTAGGTCAACAGAAGGGAATGATCCTACTCTATTTCTAGCTGCTTTACTAACTTTTTAAATCTCTTCTCTTCCCTAACTAGACTACAGGTGAAATAAAATAAGATAGGAAACAAGATCATCATAGAAAAAGAAAAACATATACCAGTAATTGAAAGGGACTGAGTGAATCTAAATAATAAAGTCAACAAAAGACTTCATACTATATTCCAATGTAGCTGCAGTTTAACTATAAGGTGACTTAGGTTAGTTATACATTTTAAAGTATCCCTAAAATTGAGGTTTAGAAAGAAAACAAAAGAAAAAGCTCTTGAAAAAACCTTGAATGTTTAAAGTATTCTGCCTGGGCCTCCCCGGTGACGCAGTGGTTGAGCACTGGGTTGCGAAGCTGCCCGCAGCCTCTGCAGCGCCTGTTCGATTCCCAGCTGCTCCCCGACCACCAGAGGAGAGTCCCACATGGCGCGCACACCTCTCCTGCTGCCCGCTGCTCCCCTCAGGAGTATACTTCGGTCCTTCTGCCTGCTCTGCTCCCCGCTCTGGCTCTGGTGAATTCTCTCAACCTCCCGTGCTTCTGACTATACCCAGTGCTTGTATAAATAAATATTTAAAAAAAAAATATTCTGCCAAATGATTACACTTTACAAAAATATTTTGCTTTAACTCATGTGTCTCTGATATCAAATATCAATTATGAAAAATGAGATGGCCAAGCTTTTAAATAATTGAATAAGAATTTTTTTAAAATTATGCATCATAAAATTGATCATTTTGACATTACCTTTCATTTACATACATTTTAATCAATTTCAGTCATTTTTATGCAATTATTAAAGTACATAAAAATTTATTTAAATTCTACTTTATTTCTGCCTCTGCATCATTTTTCCTTAGAAAAGATTGAATCAGATACAACCAAAAAGAATATATTAAAATGACAAAGATAGACTTCTTGTGAAGTTGAGACTCTGACTCATCACATTGTATGTATATCCATTTGAGGTAAGAAAAATGAGTGCAACATGGAATCCCTTTGTTTTTCCCTAACACCAGTTATTTCAAATTACTTTCTATAAAAGTGACATTTTTGCTGCTATTACTACAGAACAATACATATAAAGGAAAGACCATGAAGGTTAGAAAAGACCAGGGTTTGTTCACAGCTTGGATTCTCTACTCAAAATTGAGGGAGACAGCTTATTCTTTTTTTTTTTTTCTTAAACTTATATTTTCTTTCTTTTTTTTTTTTAAGATTTATTTATTTATACAAGCACTGGGTACAGTCAGAAGTGCGGGAGGGTGAGAGAATTCACCAGAGCCAGAGCAGGGAACAGAACAGGCAGAGTGATGAAATACACTGCTGAAGGGAGCAGTGGGCGAGACAGGAGAGGTCTGTCGCGTCATGCGGGACCCTCGCTGGCAGCCGGGGATCGAATCCGAGCTGCAGAGGCTGTGGGCAGCTTCGCATCCCACCGCTCAACTGCTGCGCCACCAGGGGAGGCCCAAGGGAGACAGCTTATTCTCACAAGCCTTACCTAGCTTATCTGGAAAAGAATGATATATCTACCTACTTGATATAATTTTATGAAGATTAAAATAGATAATGTGTAAGAGACTCAGTCTACTATCCAGCATATGGTAGTAAGTTCTCCATAAATGCTTGATACACATCACACAAGTCAGTTCCCTATAATTATAGTCCTGAGCATCTATAAAATATAAAGTACTTCCCAAATAATTAAAGAAATATTAATTATGTAATAAGATATTTAAGACTCATATCCTTTCAAATAATAATTTTACTTCTAGGAAACTAGCCAGAGCAAATGGTTAGAGATATTGTCAAATATGTATGCACCAGAACCTGATTTTTAACATCAAAAAACTGGAAACAACCTAAGCATGGTTGTAATAGAATATTTAATCCATGTGATTGCATAGTGTGCAACTATTAAAATGTTGAAGAGAATTGAGGGCACATAAAAATGTTCAAAAATTAAATTAAAAGAATAACCTGTAGATCTACATCTCAACTATATGAACAATTACATTCATGTGTGCCAGTGAACATGTGCCCTAGAGAGCCTAGGTAAAAGAAATTGTGAGTGGCAGGATGAGTTGCCCCAGTCCTCTTTGAACAAGTGGACTAAATCAGACTAGCGAGCCCTGTCCAAACAATTCAGCCCACCTCACTGACCATGAGGTGCCATGATCCATAAAAGTGTCAGATTCTGACTAATGAATATCTCAATTTCCTGGTGGGATAACACTAAGAGCCCATACATTCAGTTGAAATGTACCCATCTGAGCATGCCTGCACATGGCCCAACCCAGAGTAAGCTATGATGCTGCTCTCTTCCTGACTGACCCTGGATTTACCCTTTAAGTATCTCCTAATTCCCTCGGAGAGCCAGGGTATAGTCACCTTTCCCAAACTGGCTGCCTCATAAATGAATCTCTCTAGTAAAACCTTGCCTGGTTCAACAACAACTAGAACTGTCTGGTGAATTCTTTCCCTACAAAAAAGGACCTGCTCAGGTTGAGGAGCCCTAATTCTTGTTTTCTTTTTTATTTTTAAGATTTATTTATTTATGCATACAAGAACTGGGGTACAGGCCAGAGGTGTGGGGAGTGAGAGGATTCACCAGAGACAGAGTGGGGAACAGAAAAGGCAGATTGACTGGAATACACTGCCAAGGGGAGGAGCGGGTGAGCTGGGAGAGGTCTGCTGCGCCATGTGGGTAGCTCCCTGGCCCGCCGGGGGATCGAACTCGTGCTTCAGCCGGCTACAGACAGCTTCATAGGTTGTGTCTTAACCCCTTGAACCACCAGGGAGGCCCTAATTCTTGTTTTCTTATGTTTTAATTATTTGCTAAATCTTCTACTGTATACATTTATTAATTTGAAACTTAGAAAAAATAAAATTCACAAGTCCTTATAATTATGGTTTCTAGTATATTCTGGTGTTTTAAGGATGGTCTTATATCCCTTCTCATTTCTAAAAGAATTTGGAATGGCTGACAAAAATATACAGACTAAAATAATGAAGAAAAAGACTTGAAAATTCAGTATACATTCATATCTACATACATTATTTACCTGTACAAATATGTTTATGACACATAAAGTATACATACATACATATATACTTTATGTATACACATATATACTATATATATATACTCACACACTCACTCACACACACACACACACAAAATTAGTCAAAGAACTTTCAGATACTGAGCACCAAAGTAAGTTTCTCCATCTCAGGAAGTGCACACTGTAAATATGCAGGTATGGTAGACACTGTTTTAAATTGTACACTCGGAATGCTATTTAAGTGAATCTGTTCTGTGGTTGGCTGAAAGTAAAGGAATCATGAAATGTAGCAAGATGAGTATGACCTTAATCAACAACATAAAAAATCTTTTAAAAATGTATCTATACACAGCATGGTAGATATGGTTAATATTTTATAGTATATATGAAAGTTGCTTGAAAGTAGATCTTAAAAGTTCTGATCATACACATAAAATTATAACCTTGCATGGAGATAACTAGCTAGATTTATTGTGGTGATCATTTTGCATTATACACAAATATTGAATCATTAAGTTGCATACCTGAAAAATGCTATATGTTAGTTGTACCTCAATTAAAAAGAAAAAAGGACAGATATAAAGATACAGATTTTAGACAGGATTTCCTGTATATCTTGTCATTTTCACTCATGTACCTTCAAAGAAAAAGTAAATGGAAATAATAAAATCATACTTTAATCTCAACACATAAAATACATCAAGAAAATAAACATTAATGAAACAAACTGCTATTAAAATGTATTGGCTATACAGTATTCAACAAACATGGCACTTACCTTCACTGATAGCATGGGGCTTAATAATACAACAGGTACAATTGGTAAACTTAGCAGTGTTCGCTGGCCCACAAACTCCACTCGAAGGAAAAAATAACTCCATTTCCTAAAGAAAGAAAGAAATGGCTTTGGCACATGTTATCTCTTATCCTGATTCTTAGATATTTATGAAAGGGGAAGAACAATACAATTACTTTAAAATTTCATAATTTAAATTCTTTGCTTTAAATTTTTACAGTGGGAAGTATTTATTATTTTTCCAAAATTATGTTTATTAAGGTAAAGCAGGTTTAAATTTATCTACTCCTGGGTATAGGTTCAAATCTCTACAAATGCACCCTTTCCCAGCCTACCCACCACCAGGTCCCAATAATCCTGCACCATGTTCCATTGTTGGTCAATTATTTTTTCTCAACTTTTAATTTCTTTCTTGCTCAATTCTTTTTTTAAATATTTACTTATTTATGCATACAAGAGCTGGGGTACAGGCCAGAGATGTGGGGGGTGAAAGGATCCACCAGAGACAGAGTGGGGAACAAAACAGGCAGATTGACTGAAATACACTGCTGAGGGGAGCAGTGGGCGAGACAGGAGAGGTCTGCCGCGCCATGTGGGTTTCTCCCTGGCTGGCCGGGGATCAAACTTGTGCTGCAGAGGCTGTGGATTGCTTCATAGTGTGGTGCTTAAACACTTGTGCCACCAGGGAGGCCATTCTTACTCAATTTTTAAAAATTAAAATGTCAGTTTTTTCCAAGTATTCATTTACCTATGTTGAATATATATTGAATGTGCATTTAAGGCCAAGAACATGAAGATTTTACCTATCCATACAGTGAATTCTATTTTATACCTCTGTGTTCTTTTCTCCTTGTATGGGTTGTCATCTCTCTCCCACCTAGGAATCCAAGTTACCATTTCCAAGAGCATTTTTATTAGGTCATTGTTATGGCAACTAATTCAGAGGCTTCACACAACAAATGTAAAAATCACACTCCAAAATTTTCATATTCCTTTGTGATTTGAGCTGCCTAAAATTTTGCATACAGCTTTTTTCCAAGCATTTCTGTTATCACTTAGCCTTTTATATGTCTCTAAATTGCCTAGCAGAAAAAGATAAAATAGGCACCTTTCCCAAAAGCTTAAAATTCAGGCTCGGGCCTCCCCTGGTGGCGCAGCAGTTGAGCGCTGGGTTGTGAAGCTGTCCGCAGCCTCTGCAGCACCAGTTCGATCCCTGGCCAGGGGTGAGGGTCCCATATGGCGCGACAGACCTCTCCTGCTGCGCTCGCTGCTCCCCTCAGCAGTGTATTTTTGTCAGTCTGCCTGTTCTGTTCCCCGCTCTGGTTAATCCTCTCACCCTCCCACACTTCTGACTGTACCCAGTGCTTGTAGAAATAAATAAATAAATCTTAAAGAAAAATAAATAGGGCCTCCCCAGTGGCGCAGCGGTTGAGCCCTGGGTTGCGAAGCTGCCCGCAGCCTCTGCGGCGCCAGTTCGATCCCCGGCTGCTCCCCAGCCACCGGAGGAGGGTCCCACATGGCGCGCAGACCTCTCCTGCCGCCCGCTGCTCCCCTCAGCAGTGTACTTCGGTCATTCTGCCTGCTCTGCTTCCCGCTCTGGCTCTGGTGAATTCTCTCACCCTCCCGCGCTTCTGACAGTGCCCAGTGCTTGTATAAACAAAACAAACAAACAAACAAATAAATAAATAAATAAAACATGCCTCTATTAAAAAATAAATAAATAAATAAATAAATAAAATTCAGGCTCAACTTGGTAAAATTTAAGTATACAGGATTTTTTCCTGTGTTTAATAAATTGTAAAATCTAGAGCTAAACTGTTTTAGTATTACCCTGATGAGATCCAGAATAATTTCATGAAAACATCTGACTAATATACAATTGTATATTTAGTTACAGTAATGAAAGTTTTACTCAATTGCTACCAGTTAAACATTTCTCTAAAACCTTTACATAATAAGTTAAATGACATTTTTGTAAATGCCTGGATTAAATCATTTTTAAAAAACCATACCAAAGTTCTGTCCACACACTCTCCCAATATCAAATAAGAAATCTGTTGTCAGAAAATAATCTGAAACATTGGTAAGTGAAATATGAAGTCCTATGATTGGTGGACCAACATCTATACATATGTAAAAAAAATTACAACCTAACAAAATTCTCAAAAGGGAATGTTTGAATAAATCACATTTTATGCATGCAAGGGTACAGTCTATAACAATTAAAATTTATTCTTATGACACCAATCTGGTAATATGTAAAATATTATGATTTAATATTAAATTAAAAAATCAAATTATATTAAACCATGCAGAATGATATTTACTATGTAAATCATTAAATGATCAAAGAACATGGGAAGGAAGATGCCATAAATAGATAAATTGCAAACACTGCTGGCAGGGTTACTGATTACAAATTCTCTTTATTCTAGTTTCCAAATTCTGAACGGTGTTTCCACTTTGTGTTCTAAAAGCTGAAATGTTGAAAATAAGGCAGGCTGCTACTTTCAGTATACTCAGTGGAGAAGGGTGGTAAAGCACAGGGACTCAAGTCAAAATGACCAAGATCTAGCCCTCAAGTGGCCAAGATACTTAACGTCTATAAGTTTTCATTTCTGCAGCAATAAATTGACATGATGTAAGCAAATGTGTAAGATAGTGTGGGAATTAAATGAGACTTTTAAAAAGAGCTTGGGGGCCTCCCCTGGTGGCACAGGCAGTTGGGCGCCACGCTGTGAAGCTGTCCCCAGCCTCTGCAGCACCAGTTCGATCCTGGCCAGCCGGCAAGGGTCCCACATGGCATAGCAGACCTCTCCTGTCACGCCCGCTGCTCCCTTCAGCAGTGTATTTCGTCAGTCTGCCTGTTCTGTTCCCCACTCTGTCTCTGGTGAATCCTCACACCCTCCCACACATCTGGCCTGTACCCCAGTTCTTGTATGAATAAATAAATAAAATCTTTTTAAAAAATTAAAAAAATAAAAAGAGCTTGGACATGTGTCCTGACAGAGTGTACACTCAGAACTGTGTGTGTTCCTATTCAGAACTTCTCTTTGATAGATTGTCAGCTAACATGATGTCCACAGGACTCTTTCCAATACAAGAGTCAAGATTACATAAATTCTAAAGGATTGATCCAAATAATTGGAAGTTCAGAGATGGATGTTGGAAAGAGCTAAAAAAAATCAAGTGTGCAGAACAGAAACAAACATACCTAAGATACTACTTTAGGACAATGGAATATGGTAGCTACCTTTGCAAAAGATTTTCTATTACAAAAAAAAGGGGGAAAGTCATTCCGCAAGTTGTATTTTCAAATAGAAATTTTTCTTCCAAGCTTAGCACATGTATTACATACATGCACACACAGACCACAACTATATGTATTTAGGAAAAATCAAGATTTATCCTGTTAAGAGTATAAAACTGCTGACGTTTCTGGATTCATTTGTTTTCAGCATCGACAGTATTACTGAAATGTACAACTTACATTAACATCAAATAAAGACAAGGGATAGTTGTACTCAGTCAAGATTCATGGTATTTCATTAAAAAGAATATTTATAAAGCATCGAGAAAAACAAAATGACATGCTGGCATTTTTCCATCTTTCATTTATATCAAAGATTTTAATAAAAGGGAATTTACATTTTCAAATAGATTGTTTACTAATGGAGCTAATGACCAATATCAGCAGAATTCATTAATCCAACAAACATTTATGAGCATTTATGATGTGCAAGGAAGGTTCTATTGATCAAAACAAAACATAAAAATCCCTGTAGTCATGGCACTCAATAGTAAAATCATCTAACATATAAACACATATGTAGAGCCTACGCTATCTAATATCTGGCAAGCATTTTTGTGCACAAATTTAGTAAATAAATTAGTGAAAAGAAAAAAAAAGAAATGATGGGATAAGACGGGAAAGAGAAAAATATCAATGAATATGGCTAATGAATTCAGATGAGTCCCCCAATTATTTTCTTTATTATTTGTGTCTATCATTTTTGTTAATACATCAGAACTCTGACTAGGAAGTTAATTATAGTAGATATATTACATTTACAGAAAATGTCTACTGCTAAGATCAAAGATCAAAGACTATTAATCACTCCCTTGCATATACCTTTGACTACCCTCAACCCTCCTATCCTGCTTTCATCACAAAACCAGTGTCATTAAAGCAAACTCTTCATCTTCTCTGCAAGGAAATCCATGCACTGTATGTGAGAACCACAATCATAATTCCTGACCATGAATTTCAGGTGGGCCATATTTCAACATGGCAATCCTACCATTCTTTTCCTGATCTGTTCTTTTTTCCTAGTCTTTCAGGTGATTATTTCACATCTTCTCTCTCTTCAAACCCACACCTTCACCCCCCATCCTCACATTTAGCTGTTGTGACCATGCTTTCTACTTCCTACTGAGAAAAATGAGGTAGTAAGAATCAGCATCTATGCCACATAATCTGCCTTCCCTAAAGTTGCTATAGAAGACCCCCATGTACCAGTGTAGTCAATCTGGGTTCTAATTTCCATTCCTATTAACCAAATCAGTGACAGTACTACCTCTTTTCCCAACATCAATTTCTCATATCTGTAATTCTTTGTGTCTTTATAAAAAGTGTTTAGCGGGCCTCCCTGATGGCACAAGGGGTTAAGCACCGCACTATGAATCAATCCGCAGCCTCTGCAGCACAAGTTCAACCCCTGGCCAGCCAGGGAGAAACCCATATGGTGCAGAAGACCTCTCCTGTCTCTCCCACTGCTCCTCTCAGCAGTGTGTTTCAGTCAGTCTGCCTGTTTTGTTCCCTACTCTGTCTCTGGTGAATCCTCTCACCCCTACCCCCTGCATCTCTGGCAGGTACCCTGGCTCTTACATGCATAAATAAATCTTTAAAAAAAAAGTGTTTAGCTCACAGCTACCATCTTCCCTGCTCCCCACCAGTTTATCATATTCACTATCTCCAATTCCCATTCTCTAATTTTCTTCTAACTCCACTGCAAGCAGGGTTTTGCCTCCAATTATTCACTGACATTGATCATACCAAGTCCACTGACGATCTCTGTATTTCAAAATCAAATGGTCAATTCTAGTCCCTTTCATATTTGATATATAGGTTTCCCCCTGCTATGCAGAAGTAGAACATTCCTGTTTGGTATTAATTGGTATTTGGGTTATTTTGCGGGCCTCAGAACACTATTACCATTAACTTATATAAAAAAAATTTTGAGCATTTCCAGACCCAAAAAATAAGCCATCAAATAAGATCTTTGCACTTACAGATAGCAGAGGAAATGTGTATCTGTCTCATTTGACACTAATCATTCTCTCTCTTAAAATGCTTTCTTCACTTGGCCTTCCAGACACAATTAGCTCAGGTTTTTCCATCTCTTTCATAAGTCCTTTGCTGATTTATCCTCTTCCATGTTTTACTAGAGCAAAGTTGCCATCTTTGTTCTCTTTCCTCCAATTATACACTGCCCTTGCTAAGCTCAACCAGTCTCATGTTTTAAATACCATGTCTGTGCCAATGACCCCCATACTTATGCCTTATTCCAGACCTCCCTAATTCCTAAATCCATATACTTAATTTTTTACTAAGCACCTCTCCTTGCATAACTAACACACGTTAAGCTTGCAATGTCCAAAATATAACCTGATTTTCCATCCATACTGATTCTAGTCATAACCTTCCTCATTTTAGTTTCTGTAAATTCTACTCTTTCAATTGTTTAGGCCTAGAACTTTGGAGTAATCCTTGTTCTCGCTCTCTTTCTCTCATACTCTACATTCAATCTGAAATCTTGATCATTTAAATTTCAACCACTAAGATGCATTTTAAAATATACTCCTCTCATTTCTCCTACCCTGGTCCACTCATCATCTGTCTGAATTATAGTAACATTCATCCCCTTAACTGGACTCTTGTTGCCCTCTTGTTTTCCATAGTGTATTCTCAACGTGGCAGCCAGAGCTGTTCTTTTAAATGGCAAGCCAAACATGTCATTCCTGCACTTAAAATCATGCAATGACTCCCAATTTTCCTCAGAGAAAAAGTCAAAAGTACTACCATAGTCTATAAGACCAGATGATAATATCTTATTTCTGTGACTTCATCAGTCTCTCCCCTTCCCTACTCCCTTCCAATTATGTTGCCTCTTTGATGCTACTTGAATATATCAGGTAGAAATATGCTATTCAATGAATAGCAAAGTAGTCAAAATATCTGGGACAGAGTAAGAGAGAGATAGGTTGGAGAACAAGTTGGAGAGATAGGGACCAATGAGGAAGAGCTTTGGACTTAGATTTTATTGCCTAAGAGACAAAAATTCACATGAAGGGCTTTTAATAGTTGAATCTCTAATCTCATTTGTTTAAAATAAGATCACTCTGGGCATAGTTAATTTTACTTGAACAAGGTAAAATTTTCATAAATTGAGGGTAAGCAGATGAATCAGGAGGCTTTTGCAGTAGTCCAGACAAAATACAACAGTGGTTTAGACCACAATGATTAGATTCAAGGGCTAATGTGAAAGGAAAGCTAAGAGATGTTTGATAAAGTTATAAAAAATTTTAAAACTCATTTATGAAACTGTCTAATATTATTTCATTGCAAACATGAACATCTTAAATTAGCTGAGAAATTTCTCATGATCCTAAGAACAAACTTTCAGTCTGGTAATTCAACATTAAATATCTTACCTACATGAATTTAAAATAAGTAGTAATTGTAGGGAAACTTCAGAATGCCAGCTACATATGAGGAGGGCGGTAAAAGGATGTTAAGCTGGAAAACAGAGTGTTAAATCTGAATCAGGGACATCACAGGATGTCTTTTTTAATATTTACTAGCCATAAACTGGTATTCTTTCATGAACTCAATCACAGAAATATTTACGAACCTCAGTAATTTAAGGTTCTTGGCAACAGGAAATGGGGTGACAATGGTTTTAATTGGAGAAAACCTATCCTGAAGACAACCCAGTTACCACTTCACAAGGAAGATATACCATCAAACACTGTTTAATCCTAGGTCAAAGGTCAAGAGACTTTGCCACTGCTAGTTGAATTGTAAAAATCTACTACAATAACAGAAATACTTTTCTTTGACATCAAACATTTAACAAAACTAAAATATTTTAACAACACCTTACCCTGGCAGCACAAGCGAAAGAATCAGGACCGTGAGCGGCATTTCGTATGCCATCTGTTCCATAGAGGGCTCTGATGCTTCCAGGAGCATCTACACGTGCCAGTCCAGAGTTTGCAGGTCCAAGAAGTCTCTTCCATTCACATATAGCATCATCTCTTAAAATCTCCATAGCAATAACAGGACCACTTGAAATAAATTGGATCAATTCACTATAAAACAGGTAAAAAGACTGATTTGCTTCATTTTCCTCTCAACTGGGGTAGCTCTCTTAATAAGGATATATTACAAACTGAGTATTCCAAGGGATACATGGATATTATGATCTCAGGATATAGTGAATTTTCTTGGGCAAGGTCATTAATTAAATGTACATAGTGAACACTACTGTTGTCCAATCAATTATATTTCCTTGAATTAAGACTATTCTATTTACTAAAAATTGCATATTGATGACCTATGCTTTTTCTATTGCCTGAAAAATATAGAAGAATCTTACTTTTTATTTTCATGTGGTTTACCATGGCAGTCTAATAAAATTTCATGATACAGAAAGTGATGAGAATGCTGTCTTGGAACATACTTATAGTAGGAATTTAATTACTTGAGTGTAGAACTATTAAATTCAAGAATGACAATGATCTTTCAATCACTATGCACTGAGTTAGCCTAGTATAAAGTAAAGCAAGTCAACTGCCCTTCAAGAAACATCCTTTTGTTAGTGTAAAAGCTATTTTGGCCAATTTGTGTCTTAAATTATTAAAGCACACACATAAGTTCTCCATTAAATATTCTGTTGAATCACAGTAACCTAAGACAGGAAAAACAATATCTCATTTTATTTTTCCACTTCTGTGTCTAAAGCAGCAATGACAAATTTCACTGTGAAATATGCCACCATTTCTTCTACTATGGGGAATAAAAATACTTTTAAAAGCAAACCCATACTTCTCTTTCATCAGAACTAAATGAGAGGACAGGACCCTCCTGGAGAAATGAACATAGTGTGGCAAGTCCTTCTGTGCCTATTAACTCTATTTCACACAATTCCTTTCCTTATGAACCATGTTTCATCAACATGGTTCCTTCAGTCCCCTTTTAAAACAATTCATTTTGAAGACTATTTCTATGAAACAGCATGTACAAAAAGTAATCCTTCTTTCTATCCCAAAAGGTCCACATGATTTTTCTCATACATATTCTGCTAGGTCTTAGCTGTCCCAAAAATGTTGATTTAAGGAACCCAAATCAAGGAAACAAACCTACATTTATCCCTTCAACAGGCATTTAATGATGACCTACTATAAATCAGAACATGCTATAAAATAAGATTCTTCCCTGAAGAAGCTTATAATAGCCTATTAATACAGAATTCTCAAAAGACATAACAGAAAAGGCTGATTACATAAGTATGGTACTAGGGATAAAGGGTAACAGTGTGCTTGATCATAAAAGTCATTGCCTCATGAAACTACTTCCAATCACTCCAGCCAATCTTTTATTATGTCTTTCTCAATACTAGAAAACTAATTCATCCTTTTAATAAAATTTCATTAATCTATTTAATAAGCTAATTCATCCATCTAGTAAAAAATACTGCATACGTCTCCACATAAGATATTAAACAAGGATGTGTAATATAATTGTATAAAGACAAAGATCTTAAAGATCTAACATGGTATGGGGATGTTTTGTAAAACTTAAGATAATATAGAACATAGTTTCTTATATAAAACCTTAAAAAATGTACTATTCATAATATCAAACAGCATGTTTGCTATATAGCAGCTTAGCTAATATCCTTTATTAGAAATATAAGTACTGCTTTGTCAGTCAATAGGAAGCTCTCATTTGTTAGCCATAATTTGAGCTGCACATTATTCACTTAAATTTAATTATATCCCAAATATTTAGAATGAAGATTTAGTTTTTAACATACCAGTTAACCTTCAACAAACAAAATATGTATCAAAATATTTACTTAAAATATAACAGTTAGGTAAGCATAGTTTTATGTATGGGATTGCCAAAATAAGAGTTTAAAAGCACAACAAAAACTCAACAGAGTAAAACTGTCACTAATTTTAATTGAAATCTAAACAGAAAGTCATGGTTGTAATAACTTACACAAATCGTCCTATGTGCTTATGGTCAAGATATTTAATGATAGGAAATCTTATCTAATAAAAAGACAGAGAAAATATTTCAAAAAGTTCTCCATATGCAGTTGCAGCATACTGCCAGTCCTTTTGATAGATTATTCTCATGTAACAAATTTTGAAATATAAAATGTTTTCAATTTTCCAGGATATCCTCTATTACACACTATTAGCTCCAAATTCAATACCTACTTTAAAAAGTGCTTTAACTGATGGTCTGCATGGAAATCTGTTGCTTCTTTCCTATAACCAAAATGACAATAGTTAAAAATTATGTAAGTATTTTAGCTCAGATTAATATACATTCCTTTAGTTGATCTGTACATAAGTTGATTGTTCACCAAATATTCTGCTCCAATCCCCCCTTGGCTTGTTTTTAGCTTCCTCATAAAAGTGAGATCATAAGAGTAATTTTCTCTGACTTTCCCCTTCTCTGACTTATTTCACTTAGCATAATGCCTTCAAGGTCCATTTTGTCAGAATGCAAAATTTCATTAATTTTATGACTTAAAAATATTCCATGGTATAACTATATATATGCACCCTTTTTCTTTAGCCATTCCTCCATTAACAGACACCTGAAGAGATTTCTGTATCTCAGCTATATAAATTATACTGCAATTAACGTGGGGCTGCATATATATTTGAGTTAGTATTTTCAATTTCCTTAGCTAAATACACAGAAGTGAAACTGCTGGGTCATATGCTATTTCTTTAATATTTTGAAAACCCCCATAGTGTTACACATATAATGGTTGAACCAATTCACATTTTTACCTTACTGATGACAGCCATACTGACAGTTGTGATGTGATGGCTCACTGTGGTTGAGATTTACATTTCCCTGATATTTGTAAAGACTTGCATCTTTTCATGTACCTGTTGGCTTTCTGTATGTTTTCTTTGGAATAATATCTATTCAGATCTGCCTTTTTTTTTTAAATTAAGTTGTTTTGTCTTTTGTTTTTGAGTTGTAGTAATTATTTGTTCTTTATAGATCAAATAAGTTACATCAAAAATGCAGCCATCAGGCCTCCCTGGTGGCGTAAGGGGTTAAGCAACACACTATGAAGCAATCCGCAGCCTCTGCAGCACGAGTTCGATGCCGGGCCAGCCAGGGAGCAACCCACATAGTGCAGCAGACCTCTCCTGACTTGCCCGCTGCTCCCCGCAGCAGTGTACTTCGGTCAGTCTGCCTGTTCTGTTCCCCGCTCTGTCTCTGGTGAATCCTCTCACCCGCCGCATCTCTGGCCTGTACCCCAGCTCTTGTATGAACAAATAAATAAATCTTTTAAAAAATGCAGTCATCTGCAAATTTTGGATTTATCACTTTCTTCTACAGGCAATAAACTTGAGACATTAGGCTAGAATTTTAATTTCTAACTTAATGAAATCTCACCAAAGGACAGAATACAGGCTTGGGTTTTTTTTAAAAACTGCTTGACAAATGTATATCAATGTATTCTTACTACTATATTAAAAACTAATGCTTTAAGTAACATCACCAAAAAGGGAGGAATGTGGAGTTATTTAAAATTCATAATTATTAATGGCAATCAGTATTTACTTTTTAAAATTTATATTCCCATTAAAAATCCCTATGGAGACAACAGACTTTAAAATAAGCTAAAAAGACTAATTTTTAAAAATTAAATTAGGTGTCTCTGAAACTAATCGTCTTCTTAAGGGCCTTAAACTATTCACAGTACATGACAAATATAAGCCAACTTCAACTACATTTAAATATAACAAGGAAATTAAAATGTCCTCTAGCAAAGGATTAACTTTTAAAACTTGAGAATTTTGTATGTAATGCTTTAAGATCTTACAGTTCTAGTAGGAGAGTTCAGATAATAAGCTATATCAGCGCAAACTTATTCAAACCAAGTATACTGAAATACCCTCTCCTACTATAAAGAGATTATGGCAGTATACGATGCAAATGTAGAAAATAAAATTCATCCCAGAAATGGGAGGGGAAGAAAATTCATCTTTCTAGAGCCAAACTTAATCTATTCCTCACAAAATATTAAGCTAGGTAAGATCACCTTCATTTCACATATGAAAATAATGAAGATCAGCATAACTACATAACTTGTGTAGAACGAAGTAGCATTAAGGAAGGAAGGACAGGGGATTTGAACCTAAAAATCTCTTGCTTGGAAATCTTAGATTGCTTATGCCCTTTCTATTAGCAGCTGTAGAAAAATAAATTCTAGAAGGCAAGGAGAAGTCACAAAAATAAAGTATATGTATTAAAGCCTCAAATGGGCTGTAGGGTAAGGGAAAATATCAGGCTTTTCTGCCCTCCCGCCATAAGGATGGATGAGGGAACCCTGTGATCCTGAATGCATGCCTGATGGCTGGAGTGGGTACACCTGGGCTAAGACTGTGCTTTTTAAGGGCGGCGTCATGGGGATGCCAGGAGAAGCCGAAGCAGAAGCCGAAAGAGAAGCCGAGAAGCAGCAGAACGAACGCCGGAAAGCCCAGATAGAGTGAAGACTTGCCAGCACCCCTGCCTGCCATATGCCTGGTGAACCCCAATAAAAGACCTGCAAAAAACCACTGAGGACTCTGACTGCTCCTTTACCTGGTCTGCATGGGATCAGAAAACCTGCTCTGTGTCCTGTCCTGCCTTTACAAGGCAAAACTTGTCAGGGGAGTTTTTAGAAGAGTTAATAATAAGACTGCTAAAATGACCGATTCAACAAAATCAAGAAAACAAAACTCATAATATTTAGTATCAATGAAAATAAAGATCTCAATTACTAATTAGTTTCATTATTTTCTTCTAACATGTCACTGATCCCATCTAGTCATCTCCCTTCAAGAGCTGTCTACCACCTTGTAAAGAGCAGGAATGGACACAGTGCAGGTTTTCTATGCAGATGGGGTAAAGGAGGTAAGAGTCTTGGAGCCCTCAGTAGCTTTTGCAGGCTTTTTATTTAGATTTACCAGGCACATGGCAGGCAGGGGTGCTGGGGGGCCGGAAGGCTGGCAGTCCTCCCAACCCCCAGCAAGTCTTCACTCTATCTGGGCTCTCTGAGCTCTCCGGCCTTCTCTCTGCTTCTCTGCTCTTCCATTCGTTCTGCTGCCATCCCAGTGATGCCGCCCTTAAAAGCCCAGTCTTAGCCCAGGTGAATCCTATCTACCTATGCCCACACCCTACTCCAGGTGCCCACCATCAGGCATGCATTCAGGACCGCAGATCTGTCATCTGTCCTAATGGCGGGAGGGCAGAAAAGCCTGATACTTTTTACCTTACCCTACACACCTACATTGTATTTAGAAATACAGCTGCCTTTCAGATATTGTCAAGATGAAGTGATGGTTGAGTGAGCTTTGGGAGACACCCCCATGGCTCTCTGGAGATCCCAACATGTCTTACTGGACATATAAAGAATGCAAAGCCCTGGCTGTGCTTTATTTTATTCATTTCTCCACAGTTGTGTTTACAGTGAACAACTTGAGGGATGAGGTCATGTCTCTCTACAGTGCAAAGAGCAGGCTTGTTTACTTCTTGCTAATGAAACAGTGGGTAACCCAAGTTCAATACTCTTGAGCTGTGATGCAATAAACATGTATACAGCATCCACCTGGGCCCCTATCATATTATCCCCACAGGACATGGAAACAAGGAAACTAACACAAACATGCACTCATGCTGCTTGGTGTACCAAAATAAAGTCCTTTGTCTCTGACCTAGATGGCTCACATCTTCTGCTGGCATTCAACAAAGTGGCACACTAGTTTACCAGCTTTTAAGTTGGATAAAATCCAAGACTTGGCGGTTAATATGAATTAGATGTATGAGGTGTTATGAACAATTAAAAACCAATTTTCTCTGGCATGTTTATCGTGGGAAATTTGATGCCAAGTTATCAAGAACTGGAAGCATCTAGACATAATTTTTACTCTCACTAGAACTATTCAAAGTCAGCTCTCCAGAATTCAGTCCCACTGCCTGCTATGACAGGAAGCATTCTTGTTACAATCAGAAATTGGGTAGATTTTACTTATTAGGGGTCATGACCTCAGCTTTCACTAGTATCTACTAGTATAATAGCTAAGCTTTATATATACTTGCCATAAGCCAGGGTTTTTCAAAGTACTCTGCATATACTAAATTCATGTAACCTTTACAACTTTACAAGACAGGTGCTATTATAACCTCCACTTCTGCTGGCAGAAGTGCAGTTGAAGAAACTGAAGCAGAGAGGTAATTTGTTCTGAGTCATCCACTAGTTAATGGCATAGTATAGTGGCAAGCCTGCAGGCTGGCGAGGCAGGGAGGCCTGGCTGGGTGGGCCAGAAGGCAGGCAATCAAGCCTCCCAGCCCCTCATGAATATTTATGCTCTTTCTCTGGGCTCTCTCTGGCTTTCTCTTGGGGTCTTGCCTCTCTCTAGTCTCACAGATCTTTCTCTCATAGCTGTTCTCCTATTGGCGCCCTTTCATCCCCTCCCTCCTAAGCACAGATGTGCATACTTGCGCATGCGCACACACTCATGCTCAGCTGCCCACAATCAGGCACACGTGCCCTGAGTCACATTCCCAAGCGCCCCCCTGTATTAATATGATCAAGGTTGCAGGTGATAGCCACAAAGGCTAGCGGTGTAAAAAGCCTGACTAATTCAATTACTCTACCCAGTTACAAACATCTGGCTCTAGGTTCTGGACTCTGAAATATAAGGTGCCTGGCTTTCCAGAAAATACGTAAACTGGAAGGTCTTAGATGGTGGAAAAGTTCATATTAAGCATATGTCATGGCTGGGATAAAATCAAGGCTGTCTTGGTAAGGTTTCTAGGGATCAGACTTAGCAAAGTTGGGTTGAATGTTTATACTGCTATCTATTGTCCCTATTCTCACAGAGACCAAAAGAAGCAACTGTTCCATATATCCAGAAGCAACAGTGAGAAGACACCTGACCAAAAACAAAAACCCTGGTGAAGTAACCTAAAAATGCAGATGGAGCCTGCTCTGCCTAACTGCTATACTCATGCCCCTACCTACAGGTAAGGCTCATTCTCATCCAATAACTTAGACAATACTTGGTCAGATAGAATGCATCACTTTTCATAGTCAACAGGTATACTTAACAGTTATATGTATACACACACACACACAGAGCGAGAGAGTGAGAAAGAGAGAGAGAGAGAGAGAGAGAGAGAAAGAGAAGGAGAGAGAGATTTAAATAATTAATCAGGCCTCCCTGGTGGTACAAGTGGTTAAGTCTCAGCACTACCAAGCTATCAGCAGCCACTGCAGCACTAGGTTGATCCCTGGCCAGGGAGCTGACCCACATGGCGCAGACCTCTCCTGTCTGGCCCGCTGCTCCCCTCAGCAGTGTATTTCAGTCAATCTGCTTGTTCTGCTCCCCACTCTGTCCCTGGTGAATCCTCTCATCCCAAACCCCCTCCCCTGTACCTCTGGCCTGCACCCTAGCTCTTATATGCATAAATAAAATAAATCTTTAAATATTCATTTTCTCTTCTATCATTTTATATAAGGTATATACCTGTATATTAAGAAGAGATTACAATTATCAACCATTGGTGTTCTGAAAATAGATGGAGTTAGAGAAAACAAAATTTAGTTAATGAGACATGTATAATCTGACAATTCCTATTTGCTTAGAGTTCAATTATTTCTGCATCTCATTACCAGTTGTCTTATATTTCCTCATCTGGTAAGATTCTTTGACATTCAGTGGGAGGTTTTTTATTTTAAGCAATGATATGAATGATAGATGATTTAAAAAAATAAAACCAGACAATTTATAACTGAAAATGATTAACAAATTACCTTGAAAGCGTCATCATTTTGAGTTTGGTTATAGTAAATCCAGCTTTGTTTATTATTTCAATTATTTCTGCAGCTTTTGATATTGCATCTGGTTTAATCAGGGCTAATGTTCTGTAGAGAAATAAAGAATGTTTGAAAATAAAAATAGTACAGCCGTTTTATTCCCAAGCAGTGGTAGTTTCCTTATCATCCTAGATCATCAAATATCAAATTTAATTATAAAGAAGTCTATGAAAGGGCCTCCCCAGTGGCACAGTGGTTGAGCGTTGGGTTGAGAAGCTGTCCGCAGCCTCTGCAGCGCCGGTTCGATCCCAGCCGCCAGCCGCTGGGCAAGGGTCCCACATGGCGTGCAGACTTCTCCTGCTGCACCCGCTGCTTCCCTCAGCAGTGTACTTCGTCAGTCTGCCTGCTCTGCTCCCCACACTCTGGCTCTGGTGAATTCTCTCACCCTCCTGTGTTTCTTACTGTACCCAGTGCTTTTATAAATAAATAACCTTAAAAAAAAAAGTCTATGAAAGGTCTCTTAAAAACTTTAAGCTTACAACACAAGCTTACAGTTTTTTTCCCCCATGGAAATCAAAATTAGATATGCAATCTAATACAAATAATAAAAGCTTAAGGAAAAACATTCTAATTGTCTTTTATTGAAGTCATATTGCATTAAACATTACATACATTTCAGATATATATCATTAAAAATCAGCATGTGCAAGTATTCTCTCAAAAACAGTAATCCACAAATTACTTAGTTGAAAGAAGAGTGAGAATTAAGATGTAAAAAAAAGAAAAAGCAGCAGCACTATGAGAACTTCATGACTCCATTAGGAAAAACAAAGATATTAAGAATCCTGGAAAGGGGAGAGAAATATACTCAGCAAACTTATTTGAAGACATAATAGTTGAAAACCTCCCAAACTAAGAAAGGAACTGAATACTAAAAGAATATTTTAAAAGACAAGCACAAGGGACTTCAGTGATAGTTCACAGGTGTATTGGTGGTAGGAATTTTATGGGGACTGCACCTGAAAAGAGAAAGCACACAAGCATGCATTGTAGAAAAATGAAAAGTGATGTAATATATATATATTAAATAAACAAACAAACAAACATCTAGGTTATCTAAACACAGGGACCTACATCAAGACATTCCACCATCTAACTGGAATTCAAGACAAAGGCAAGTAAGGGGAATAAAACAGGTAAGGTACTCCCACGAGACTTTTCAAAAACTGTGCAGGGTAAAGGGAGAGTAGAATGACATGTTCAAAATATTCAAGGACAGAAATTGTCAGTGGTGAATATTGTATTCTACAAGACTCTCTTTCAGATATGTGGGAGACATAAAGGGCTTCCCATACAGACAAAAGCTGGAAAGTGACATTTTTATGTCCCAACTAGAAAACATGAGTGTTTAAAATTATTATTTCTTAGAATGTGCTTTATGAGATGATAAACCTCTAAAAAGTTGCACTAAATATGCAACAGGGTGGTCCCCAGGAAAGGGGGAGGTTCCCTGCCCCACCCAAGGGAGGGTGGAGCTGAGCAGCAAAAGAAGAAGCTGCAGGAAGAGACTGAGGAAGGAAGCAGGATGGAGCCAGGAGACCTGGAAGAGGCGCATGGAGCCTAGAGACATGTGAAGAAACTGCGCTTGTCTTTTGGTCGTGGACTGGGTGACACAGATGTGGGTGAGACCCGTGGGGAGGTGACCATGGCAGCTTTTATCTTGATGTTGATTTTGCTCTTTTCCTTCCGGGCTTGTCCGGTTGTTTGTGACCCTTCTCTGTGGGTCCCCACTGGAAGATGCTTTAGACTTTTAGCAGGCTTTGGGGCTTTGCTCTGCACCATTCCCATATGGATGGACTTTTACCCACGAGGGGATGGGTAACTTTGGGTGCTTCATTTAGAAACTAGACTCTTTGCCTTACCTGTATTGTTTCCTAGTTTTTATTAAAGTTCCTTCCCATTAAAGCGTCATATGTTTTGTGTTGATGCGGCGGATGGCAGAACCCATTTAGAATAGGCAGGTTTGTGGGGGTCTGGGGTGCCCCTCTCCCTGTCCTATAACAAATATACTATGGTCTTGATTTTTGGTCTCTCAAACTTTATATACATGTGCTATGCAGTCAGTTCAGCACTGCTGAAATAATTATAAATTCTTGTATTAACAAGTTATTCAAGCATGAATGAGATAATACTTACAGAAAGAGATGTCTTCTCACCTGACAATGTATATGGACAGCAAATATGTGCTACTTAAAAAATCACGTCTTTCTCTAAGAAGATACAGCAGAGCAATGGGCTCGCCCGGCTCCGACATCACAGAATTAATAAATTTGTAGATGGTGTCCACCTGAGTGCCCTCATAATGCTCATGAGAAAACGAGGCTCAAAGAAAGAGGTAATTTGCCAAAGGTGACACAGCTGGTCAGTTATCATCTGGACAAAACACCCACTCCCAAAACTCTCTGGTCTGTACTACTTCTACACAACTAATGCCATTAATATTATTTAAAGGGCAGATAATCACAAAATCCTCAAGAGTAATATTTGCAAATGCAAGCTAAAGATGAGAATAGTTGGAGCAGTTGAGTTTATATAACATGCAAAATTATGGTAAAGAATTGCTGCTACTTTTCCTTCTTTATTTTCAGCTATTCTGACACTAATTAATTCCAGGAATTCGAGTTGCCTTTCCATGGTTGGTTTCTTCTTGCTTTTTTTTACCAATGAGACCAAGTTAGGTAAGGATATAATACTTCAAACACTGTTACTTACACTCAGATACAACTTATAACTTATGGCTTTATTTTAAAACTTTTAATTAACAAAAATTGCTCATCTTAGTCTCTTATATGCTATACCACACAATCTTTTATTTTGAAACAAATAAGCAACATGGCATTTTTATGGCTTCACCAAGATATAATTAAAACTTTGTTTTAAAAATTGATTATTTTCACACTATTTCAATATTTTAAGCCAAACTAGCCCATAAGTTGTCAACATTAAACTCGAAAATTTCAGAGCCATGTTCTAAAGGAAAATATAAAACACATCAGCAGTCATCAATTTCTGTGAACAAGAAGCAACATGAAAGATATAAATTCAATAGAACTTAGTTTAAAATGCAATTTCATTTTCTCTTTAATTGCCTACAGGAGATTGTAGGGGTTGATTACTATGAGTAATTGCTCTAAATAATTCCCTGTGTCGTGTTTTCATTGCTTAATTTGTTCAATAGATAATAACTAAAATATATTTTGGATGGTAAATAAGAGAGGCATCAGGACACACCACACAAAAGGAACACAAAAATACATTAATAGTGCTGCTGTATTCTGTTACTGCACAACAAACCATCTCCCAAGTGTAATGGCTCAAAACAACAATTTCTCAAGATGCTGTAAGTTGGCTGAGTAGTGATTTCACCCTGAATCATTCACACAGTTTCACTAGGTTGGTGGCTCCACTGGGAGTTAGGTGAGGCTGGGACAGCTAGGTTTCTCTTTCCTGTGGGTCTTTCATTCATAAGGAGGCTAAATCAGGCTTCTTAGATACATAACCACATACTGCAGACATAGAAGCACTTATCATACATCCCCTTGAGTCATGTTTGCTGATGTCTATTGGGCAATGCAAGTCACATGATCAAGTCCAGCAGCGGTATGAGAAGGGAGTAGAGAAGGACAAAATTACTAGGAGAAGGTATGGTTCATTAGGGGCCATTAGTGTAATAATTTACTACATCATTACTCTCTTGCCTGCATCTAAGCATGGGATGCATCATTAAATGCTCTCAAAAACATACCAAAAAAGAATGATAATCATTCTTTTACATTAAAACATTTTAGCAATGCACCGATAAGAATGGCCCCATATTAAAAAAAAAAAAAAAAAAAATGGCAACCACCAATGCTGGCAAGAATGTGGAAAAAAAGGAACCAACCCTTTTACACTGCTGGTGGCAATACAAACTGGTCCAACCACCATAGAAAGCTTTTGAAGGACCCTCAAAAAATTGAAAATGGATCTACCATATTGCCCCAGCAATTCCACTCCTAGGACATAAGCACATTATCCAAAGGCCATAAAAACATTAATTTGAAAGGAAACCTGCATTCCTATCTATGTCTATTGTAGCATTATTTACATTATTTAAATGTAGCATTATTTACTATTTAGCATATAGGGTAAGGAAAAGGTATCAGGCTTTTCTGCCCTCCAGCCATTAGGATAGATGACTAGATGACAGAACCCTGCAGTCCTGAATGCATGCCTGAGGGCGGGCACCTGGAATAGGGTGTAGGCCTATCTAGATGGGATTCACCTGGGCTGAGACTGGGCTTTTAAGGGCGGCCTCACGGGACGCCAGCAGAAGCCGAGGCAGAAGCCGAAAGAGAAGGTCAGAGAGAAGGCCAGAGAGCAGGCCAGAGAGCCCACAGTGAAGATCTGCTGGGGGCTGGGAGGACTGCCAGCCTCCCGGCCCCCCAGCACCCCAGCCTGCCGTGTACCTGGTAATCCCAATAAAAACCTGCAAAACTACTGAGGGCTCCAGGACTCCTCCTTTACCTGGTCAGCATGGGATCAGAAAACCTGCACCATGTCCATTCCTGACTCTACAAGCATTATTCACATAGCTAAGATATAGAAACAACCTAAATGCCCAAAAACAGATGAATGGATCAAGAAGATTTGATATATATACACAATTGACTACTACTCAGTGGTTAAAAATTATAAACTCATGCCATTTGCAGCAGCATAGACGAGCCGGAAGGGATTATACTAAGTGAAATAAATCCAAAGGAAAACATTGGATGGTTTCAGTTACAGGTGAAACAGGGAAACTCAACAACAGGTCAGGAAAAAGGCAAAACTTGTAGGCAAGCTAAAAAGGCAAACAGCAGGAGAAGGGCAGGGAGTGGGGTCAAATCGGGGAAGGAAAGAGCTCAAGGGACTATGGTGACAGTTCAAAGATGATGTGGTAGTGGGAAAATTATGGGGATTATACATAAAGGGGTTAGGGGGAAATGATGTCCTGAGCTAATCCCATATAGGCTTTGTGGACTCCACCCCCACTCCAGACTAAAGCCATCAAGACACTGGGAAAGACAAATCCCGTCACCACCAAAGGGAAGGTGGCTGGGACCTGAGGGTAGAGTTAAGCAGCCAGGTTGGGTATAAAAACCAAACACGTGGGCCTTGGGGGGCTCGCGATCGCTCGCCTCCTGGTTTCACAGCTCCTGGCTTGCAGCCAGCTCTCAGAGCACCATTTGGGATTCCTAATCGGAGGATCAGGTAGGACTCATTTACAACTTTGTCTCCCACTTTTCTCCCTGAGCTGTACATTTCCTCATTTCCCCTTCCCTTGTAAATAAACCTTTTATTAACCTTTCGCGTGTGCCTGCAGTAGAGCATTGATAAGTCCTTTTAAGCGCGCGGGTGAGGACCCACAGTCAGGCACCCCGTTTTGTATCGGGGTTGCTTTACAACAAGGGGAGAAATCAAATAGTGTACAAAAATGAACAATGATATAAAAAAAAAAGATTAAAAAAATTTAATAAAATAACAATTTTTTAAATAAACATTTTAGCAATGAAGAGTAAGTTGTTCAATCTTCACAAAGCTCAGACAGGATAGAGATTTCTGGTAAGCAACAATTTTCAAAGAACCATATAAAAATGTGTTTTTCCTATATTATCAAGGCATTGAGCAAAAACTGCAGCATATGTGTATGTGACAGAGACAACTAAATAATTGCTATATTGTAAGCATCCCAGATAGTACAGCACTATGGACTCTTTAAATGTTGTCCACTTAAAGACATTGGTAAATTTTAATCCATATTAATTTATATTCCATTTACATTTTCATTCAAGGTATTCACATTTGCATTAAGCATCTAAAATACCTTCTAAAACACCAATCTAAGGCCAAGTTTATGGTTTCTTTTGTTTTCTTTTCTCATGGTTTCTTTTTGTGTGTTTGTGCCCCGCAGATAAGGAAAATAGTCTTACAAAAGGCACTATGATTTGGAGGAAAGTTCACTGTACCAGAGCTTTCCATTGGTAACAGTGGCAAAGTAATCCACAGAAGCCTCTCCACTAAAAACTAAAAATGGGTGGTGGCGCAGGCGGTTGAGCGCCGCGCCATGAAGCTGTCCTCAGCCTCTGCAGCGCGGGTTCGATCCCAGCCAGCCAGCGAGCATCCCACATGGCGAGGCAGACCCCTCCTGTCTCCCCTGCGTGGTGTATTTCTTCAGTCTGCCTGTTCTGGTCCCGCTCTGTCTCCAGTGAAATCCTCCCACCCTCCCATACATCTGGCCTGTACCCCGGTTCTTGTATAAAAATAAATAAATCTTTTAAAAATATAATATTTTTTTTAAAAAACTGAAAATGGTGGGTAAGGGTTTTTTTAAATGTTTCTTTAAAAATAAAATGACTACATAGCAAATAATTATTATTACAGAAGTAAAAGAAAAATGGAGACCTGGTAGTAAGAGAATGAAAGTTGCTTTTGCCCTGAGGGCATGACAGCACTGCCTATCTGACAAATCTGAACTTGAATTTGTATTATGTCACTGGAGGGGGGACAGAGGATTCTCCCTATAACAATTGGAAACCCAAGACTTCATCCTATAGTGGAACCAATAAGAAGTAGGCCATGCGTGGCCTGGCAGCACAAGTTCACATCACTTAGGTAGTACACCTTCAATTTTGGACTTGTAATATTCAAGTACTCTCAGATCCCTGTTAGACTCATTTTACAAAGTGATGGATAAATGCTTGTGTTTTCCTCCCAGAAGATAATCACTACCTAAGACCAGGGGCATCACTTTGTTTTCTGACTGAAGTGGAAATCACAGAATCTGCTCCATCAAATTCTAAAAATGTCACATCATTGAACTGAAACACCAAAAAATATCTGCATTGTGAAAACACAAGATAGCAACCAGAAATTAGAACTTTGTACTAAAACTCATTTGTGATGGTTCAATAAAGAAAAAAAGATTATGCAATTATCTTCTTACTTTTCTTTCCTACTGCCCAGTTGGCGAGCAGTATATTGATCCCCGTAGTCAACTAGCACCAGTTGTCGGGAAAAGACATTCACTTTATTGCCTATAAATAAATCTTCCAAGTGAAGGCCATCATATTTGGTCCGTTTTAAAAAGGTGCGATGATTCTTTACATCATGCTAGAATCAAAAACAATACAATAAAATAAATAATTGTCAATGAGGAATGTTAATCTTATAAATTAGAAATAGTTCTGAATCTTGCTTTCTTAAAAATAGGTTACATTCTGTTTCTTTTTGCTACAAATACAAATCATAAATTGTATTATAACTTCTGTATTTCCTAGTCAAATCCAGTAATAATATAAAAAACTTCTTATATAAATCTAATACTTTAAGAAGACCCTGAAGAGATTTATTGTCAAATCATTTCAGCAAATTATTAATAGTACTGATGAAATCCCAGAGAAATGCCAAATTTCTGTTTTTTGTTTTTTGGTTTTTTTGCCTACATAATATCCCAATACCAAATAGGTCCACCATTAAGAGGGCTCACTAATGAAAGGAACAAAAATAAAAGAACTTACTTAGCCTGTTCTTCTTCAGCCTGGCTTTTTGTAGAGATAACAGCTTTCAGTAATGGCAACATACTTAGGCAAATTATAGTCTTCTTTCTGTAACCACTTATTAACTATTGCTTAATCCAAAACAAAATGCCATTTCAGTTTTCTAACCAAAAAATAGTAACTCCTAATTTTGACATTAAAATTAAAGGCACAAAGTTACCTTCTTGTATTGGCATTCCAATACAAAAAAAAATAATTCCCACTAAAATATATAAGTGGATGCATGCATTTTTAGAAGCAACTATATGAAGGCAATCCTATTCCTCTCCTGATCCCAACTTCCCTTTTCCAACTTCTTAGCAAAGAACTTCTTACCAAAGAACTTCTTCCAACTTCTTACCATTTCAACAGATCCATCTTCTGGGTAAAATAAAAGCTCATATCGTCGAAAAAGCGAAGCATTTGGATCATACCACTCTACAATGAAAACGTATCTTTCACTATGATTCTGCAAAGAAAAGTACCATAGAAAATATAAGTACTCCTCTATAAGTTATATGAACTGACAGCAACAATTACCAAACGTGTAAAAAACAAATTTTAATACTTAGTTATTATATTGGATAGTTCTGCTTTTCAATAATAGATCAGTTGTCAACACAACTTCAGAAACATTCTAACTTCTTATTAAGTATCCATAGCTATTTCAAATATGACTGCTTAATATTTCACAGCAAACTGACCATCCTGAGTAAATTAACATTTTTTTTTGAATATCAGTTCCTGATATAATTCTTTCCTGGGCCTCCCCTGGTGGTGCAGCAGTTGAGCACTGGGCTGCGAAGCTGTCCACAGCCTCTGCAGCACTGGTTCGATCCCCGGCTGCCGGCGAGGGTCCCACATGGCGTGACAGATCTCTCCTGCCGCGCCCACTGCTCCCCTCAGCAGTGTATTTCGTCAGTCTGCCTGTCTGTTCCCCGCTCTGGCTCTGGTGAATTCTCTCACCCTTCCGCGCTTCTGACTGTACCCAGTGCTTGTATAAATAAATCTTTAAAAAAAAAATGTTTAAAAAATAATAATAATTCTTTCCTTCTGAAAGCAAGTCTGCATACCCATGGTCAATAAACTGATAAAAGCACACATTTCTGAGAGGTTAGTTCTCAATTTCATGAAGTTTCAATTATCCTAAGCTTAAGAATCTAGCAATATTGCAATGTTTTTGTCAATAAAATTATATTAAACATCCTCTCTCTCCTTAGGATTTCATATGATTGTATCCTTTTATAGAAATAATAGAATGTGTTAGCCTAGGTCTTCAGAGAAGCAAGCACCAAACCATGACTAAATATGCAAGAATTTTATTCCCGTAAAAAAAATGCTGTACTGGATTTCCAGTATAAGAAAATTATAAGAAAATTTGCCTATAAGAAATCTGGCCTGTACCCCGGTTCTTGTATAAAATAAATTTGCCTATAAGAAAATTTGGGAAGGGAAGAACCAGGGAATGCTGACAGATCACAATACAAATCTGGCATGAGTGAGTGGAGGAGAGAAGGAAAAAGCTAAGTGGAATCACCTAAGTGGAGTCTGAGGAAAGGTTCAGCATGATCATCTGGTTGGTGAGACCTCAAAAGAGTTTTTTGACTCAAAGGAATTGGCTGCTTTTCATACCCCTGCTCCTCTAGTGAGTGGATGGAGCAGCCCTCAAAAAGCATGTCCTGTGTGGATTTCAGAGACACCAGTGGGGCGCTTGGTCATTTAAGCCCATCTAGTTGGAGATCTGCGAGTGCATACTTACTGTTACCACAGAGGATAAAAGAACAAATAAGTCGGAGATTGATCCTCTTTTCTTGACTATTAAGATCTCCCATCACGTATATGATTAAAAATACAGTCCCACAGGTCTTTCATTACAATTAGCAAAGGAGAACATAAAGGAATCTAGGATTTTTGTTTCTGATTCTGGACTTAGCATTTACTTCTCTCATTACAGTAGGCAGATGGTTTCCTTTATGCTAATAACCTTCTTATAAATTCTAATGGAAGAAATTACACATCTAGTTATATTTATGAATAGACATAAAAACATCATGTAGAGCCTCCCCTGGTGGCACAGGCGGTTAAGAGACGCTCTGTGAAGCTGTCCACAGCCTCTGCAGTGCCGGTTCATTCCTGGCCCAGCGGCGAGGGTCCCACATGGCATGGCAGACCTCTCCTGTCTCGCCCACTGCTCCCCTCAGCAGTGTATTTCGGCAGTCTGCCTGTTCTGTTCCCCGCTCTGTTTCTGGTGAGTCCTCTCAACCTCCTGTGTATCTGGCCTGTACCCCGGTTCTTGTATAAAATAAATAAATGAATTTTTTTTAAAAAATCATGTAGACAGTTTTTTAGACAATATTTTCCTTTTTCCACAATCATCCAAAAAGATCCATTAAACCATGCCTATTAATTAAGAGAAAATGAAGGTAAAATCAGAGACATACTATATGCCATTTGCAAAGGTCTCGCTTCATACTTTTTTTTCATGTTCACAGTTATAAGTACAGCTTTTTTAAATTTAGGTTTCACTTTGCATTCAGGTACTGTAACACTTTATTAACAGAAATTTAAATATTAGTAGCTTATTAATTTTTTAGCGTCTGTATTAAAATATTCATCCAAAGATATCATTGAATATTCCAAAAAATCATTGAACCCACAATATTCATCAAAGATATCATTGATATACTGCTGCACCTTGATTTAAAAATATATATAAAATAGAAGAAATTGGGCCTTCCTGGTGGAGCTAGCCACAGCCGCTGTAGCACGAATTCAATCCCCAGCCAGGGAGATACCCACATGGCATAGCAGACCTCTCCTGACAACCCCGCTGCTCCCCTCATCAGTGTATTTCTGTTGATCTGCCTGTTCTACTCCCCCCACTCTGTCTCTGGTGAATCCTCTCCCCCCACGCACCTCTGGACTGTACCCCAGTTCTTCTACGCATAAATAAATAAATCTTTTGGGAAAAAATAGAAGAAATCATGATATATTTAACTGAAGGCAAAAATAGTAAAGCAAATGTAAAACCAATAAAAGTTGGTACTTCCATTTATCTAGGTAGCTTAACCAAAAACTTGACAATCACATGCTCTCATTCCGAGGCAGGTATAGAATTTTGCACAATATGCATCTCAGAAAACAGTTTTAATACAAAGAAAAAAAACTGAGGAAATATTGTCTCTGGCAGATAGAACAGCTTATAGGAAACCAATGCTATTTTCCATGAAAAGCTAAATAAGGACAAAATAATTTGAAGACCTTGGAAATTCTCTAAGGCAGCTGGATTTGACAATTCTAGATGCAGAAAGACAGGAAGCTCACTGAAGTGAGCCCAATATTCTTTGTACAATAGCTTTTACCTGAAGCTACATGCTGAGTCTTAAGTTGAGCTCACATAAGACTGAGAAACCTAGGTAGTTGGGAGGGGGATGCTGCCAAGAGGAATAGATGGTAACAATTTTTAACAGTATTACAGGGCAGAGAAATAAAAATTGGAATTTGGGCTGCCAAAATATCCAAGACTTGAGTGGCAAAGATCCTGGAGAGAAGGAAATCAGAAAAAAGTAAATTTTTAGACTTGTGCTTATTCAGTGAAGTTATTAATAGCTGACAGTTGTGGGAAGAGGAAATTATAGACTTCAAAGCCACTGAAGGGGAGATTCCTGGTAACCCCCTAATCTTTTCTGTTGTTACTTCTGGAGCATTACATGCTGGGGACTATGGGTAAACTAGAAGAGAACTGATCCAGACAAAGTTCCCAACTTGTTTTGTGCTCATGAAATTCTATGACTTTTCATGCACAATGTGAAGCATTCAAAGATAATCTACCAGATATACCAAAAACAGAACCAATCAAGAAAGCAGACAATAGAAAGAGACCTACAGATAGCTAGTTACTGGCTGAAAGTCTCCAAAATAACAATGATAAGTATATTAAGAAAAATGCATGTTGAAAAAAATAATTGCACTGGAGGCAGAATCTATTATTTTAAGTCAAGTGAAAAATTCATGAGCAAAAATGACAGTCAACATACTTTTATATAAACTATCAAAAATACCCTTGAAAAGGTGGTGATGTAAAAGTATATCCAAAAGGAAAAATTTAGTGTGTATACACCATCATGAAAAAAAAATTCTAACAGGAGGTCCAAAAGGAAAACAGAAAAAAAATAATAGATGTTTCAAGGAATTAAAGAAAGGAATGAAAATTAATAAAGATGTAAATATGTGCGTAAATCTAAATAATGAGTATGCAAAATAATGTCTTGTGGCATACAAAATAAGTAGAATTTGAGTAGAAGGAGTAGACAATGTTCTCCAAATTACGTAAAGCAAAGAAAGCATCTACTACATCAGTTGTTCAACCTGCTTTCAAATTCCAGTGGACATCAGTGAACAAGAATTTTTCTTCAATGATAGTTATATTGGGGGTGTTCTGTTCAGTTTTTCACTCTTTGTTAGAGTGATTTTATTTCTTTCCTACTCCTTGGACAACAGGAAAACATTTCTCAGAATGTTTAGTAAGTCAGTGGCACTCAAACCATAAGATATTAACAATAACCATTAACATGGCAATAGCAACAATGATTTTTCAAGTACCTTCTAACTGGTAGGTTCTTTGCATATGTTGTCTCATTTTCATTCTCATAACAGACAATGCAATTAGTATTCCTATTTCATGGATAAGGACAGTAGAGTTCAGAAAATTTGAACACTGGTCCAAGTTTTATGACATAGAAAAGAATAAGACAGAACTCAAATTTTGGCCCTTCAGACTGCAAATTCCATGTTTTGTTCCATTAAATAGCATTGTCTAAGGAAAATGATGCAAGTCAGATTAGAGAAAGTATTGATTCAGTGGGCCTACTACAATGATGAATTAACTACTCCCCCACGTAAAGTTAAATAACTCTAGACGGGTCAAGTTTTGTAACTTTTAACAATCATATAAGAGAAAGGAAATGGAGTATGATGACATATAATAAGGAAATCAACTCATTCTCTTTGACATCAAACATATTTAACAAAATATCTCTTGGCAATTACATTCCAATTCCAAAATCAAGGAATCAGTGAGTTATATCCTTCTAAGATTCCATAAGTGTCTAAGGCACCAAAAATTTTATAAAGCTGATAATATTTAGATTACTGATATTATATATACTCTGTTGCTTCTAAATTGCTTCTTTAAAACCATTTTCACTGTGCAGATTAGTTATTATAAACATGATCTCTAAAGAAAAACAATAAAAACAATTCCTTTTCCATTGTAAAAGGAAAAAAAAAGGTCAATAGATACCTATAGGAAGGAATAAGGAGTAATGTTATCTTTAAAAATTCCCTCAGATACCCAATAGTCTAATGAGGGGAGAGTTTGCAACACCACACAACAGTTAAATAAATCTGATTAAAAAAAGTTATCAAATAGGAAAAGAGAGTAGCTATATCCACAAGATTTCAAAAATACCTATACTCTTAGATCTGACTTCCAGGAGTTTTGACCCAGAATTTCTCAAAAGTCCCTCATACAAAGAAAAAAAAGTTTCATATTCCTCCATCTATATTCCTCCATCTATAAATGTGATTGCTCTCAATGAGCTAAAAACTACATAAGAATAATAATGGAATTTTTGTGTACAGATGAAGAAACCAATGTTCAAATTGTTTTCTGGAAGGACACTCAAGAATATATCATAAGTAGCTGCCACTGGAGAGTATACTGTGAAGGGGATGGGGGAGTCCTTTTCAATTTACACCTTTCTGAACTGTTTGGTCCTAACTCACTGGAATTTGCATTACAATTTTTCTTTACTGTCAAAAATGTAAACTGCTTTCTAATTTATAGTTTTCTTTAACTTTAAATTATATTGAAATGTCAAAGCCAGTTTTTTCACATTACTTAGGTGAGGACTAATTAAACACCCAACAAAAATACTACTTGTCAATAGATCCTTCTCCATATCTTATATAACCTACAACCTCTGGAGTTCTATTAATCATAATATAAAATCAGAATGTGAAACAAAAAACAAAACAGACAAACAAAAAGAGTATAACATGAATGTTAAAGAAACATACCAAGATGTAAACAGCTAACTTTTAGTAATAACATTGTATAGTTTATCTTCACCTTTTTATTATTATTGCCTACATTCTCTCAGTTACATTATTTGTTTATAAAATATAAAAAGAGCCCTTTAAAAAATTAGCTAAAGTAATAATGTGTCAGATAATGATTGGGATGAGAATATTTATACCTAAAGTTGACGACTGAGGGTTTTTTTTTTCACTTCTCTGTATTTTATAAACTTTATATAATAATAAATATAAATTCCATTATAAAGAAAAATGTCATCTTCATTTTAAAATATTTTATATGCTAGAACTCTTGGAAATCAGACAATTAGTATTTATTTTATATGAAACTTACTCCTTTCCTGCCCTATATAGCCATAAACCAGAAAGTAAGAAGGATAGATTGGGGTGGAGGAAGGAAGCTTTGAAGCAAAACAGTGTTAAAAAATGGTGGAATGCAGAGAAAATAACAGGACAAACCTCCAACACAAAAGCAGAAAGAATATCTTTTGTACTATTCAAAAGAACAAATCTAAAACCAATAGTTTCAAGAAATCATTTCGATGAAAAGGTATTGAGTTTTTAAACAAGATCTTAAAATAAAACAAGTTTTATATGTGAATTTCAATATAGTATGTTAAAACTTAGGTCTCATTTACAGTTAATGTAAACATTCACCAAAATAAAAACATGGCATGTATTTGATCACGGTTCAGGAATTAAACAATCTATTCAATACAACTAGCTCCAAACTTCCGTAGGCTCAGTCTCACATAGAGAAGAAGAAAAAACACACCTATTACAAACTGTTGTAAAAATGCGTGTGCTCATCTTTGTGGAAGTAGCTATGCAATGCAGAAAAACAGAAGAGGTAAGCTTCTTCTGTTAGAAGCAAAAGGAGGTGACTAATGTTCAACAGTAAACAAAACAGTGAATTTTTTTAAGTGTCCATAAATCAGCATGATTAAAGATGCTGATGGGAAAGAAATCAGCACAATTAAAGATCAGAATTTTGGGGTGCAATGAGTACTTTCTAATTGCAGAGCATCTCCAACATCTCCAGTTCTTATAAGATTTAAAATTAGAGCATGCAGCATTCAAAAAAGATAAACACATGCAATTTGCAGCAACATGGATGGAGCTGGAAGGGATCATGCTCAGCGAAATAAGCCAGAAAGAAAAAGAAATATACCGGATGGTCTCACTCATAGCAGGAATCTAGAAAACCTAAATAAGGGACCAGGAAAAAGAATAAGAAGGAAAAAATCAAAATCAACAAACAACTATAAACCAGAGACACACTATGGGAGGTTGGGGGCAGGGAAAGGAGGGATTGGGGTCAAAATAAGGGGGTTGCAATTGTATGGGGAATATAAAAATAAAATTTAAAAATAATAAAATAAAATAAAATTAGAGCATGGATTTTATGAGAAATAGTGTTCTACACGTTAGCATACTGAAGGACTGACTCAAAAGTGTTCAATCTCACAATTACAGCCTAAACAGGGTATTTCAGTGTTCTCTAAATTAATAAAATGCCTACCACTGTCAAAGTGATTTAACCTGTTTATATAGAAACTCTCCGTTTCAGTACAGACCTTCTTATTTGCATGGATAAGGCAAGGTCATCAAACCTTTGTACCTCATATAATCACTATTATCAATTCATTTATTCAACTAATTGAACACTACTAACTATGCTGTAGGTACAATGACAGTAGTTAAGATACATCAAGTATGGCAGTGGTGATTAGAAACTAACTTGGTCTTGGCCTTCATGCACTTCATAATCTTGCAGGAAGGAGAGCTGATCAATCACACAAGTACATTTTTTTCAACACATAGACACACACAAGCAAAGGAAGCCATCGTATTGCGTTATTTATTTCTAAGAACTTAGAACTCCTGGCTCTGAAATCATTGTTCTTCTGTTCCATCACAACTGATTCAGTTAAGATAGGTCCTTTAATTTTCGCTCATCTTATGCTGAATCCATTTCACGCTGCTTAGTTAACTATTCATCAGAATATGCAGGAAGACACTTTATCATTTTTATTTTTAATTTCCCTTTGATGGTTTGCTTTTTTAAATGCACAAAAACTTATTTTGTTACACCTTCTAAAAAATGGAAATGTCATTTTAAAATGGAGCCTATGAAAATTGCTATCTATTCAAATGACATTCAAGTATGAGTCATTTCCCAGGGCAGTAATTGTTTTTCTATAGTTGGATTATACCATGCACATGCTAATTATGAAGGTAAGTTTCTTCCATTCATTTTGAGGTCATTTTCCCTTCTTTCAATTCCTCTAAAAGGTCTTTAGAAAAATAGACTCACAACCAGTAGAAATAAAAATGCTCTTTTGTAAAACAGGTGAAATTTTAAAACATATATATACTGAGTATAAACATGATAATGGGAACATGCAGATAATGCTGGAAGAAAGGACAGGATTAATATAGATGAGTCAGCCACATCCCAGCCCTGTTATCACCTGAAAGTGCTTTCCTACCTACTCAGTTATATAAGCATTCTGTGCACTGCCCATAGCCTCCTGGCCCTGCAGCTAGTTCGTTCAATTTCTCCCTACTTTACATCATCAGGCTTTCCAGTGAAATGGTCTATTCATACATTCCCAATCCATCTCTCTCCTTCACTGCCTTCCCTTATCCATCTTAGACTCTCTGTGTCATTTTGATCATTCACTTGAACATTATTTTCATTGCACTGCTTGACCAAGACCCACCCATCTCTGTGCTTATAGTTGAGTTTTATTGTTTTGCATTTTACATTTAGGTTTGTGATCCATTTTGAGTTATTTTTTTTAAGAGTCTAGTATCTATATGTATATGAAGTCAGAGAGACAGAGAGAGCATCAAACTTACTCAATGGTAAGTACGATATAGTATTATAAACATTTTTTACATTATAACAAATATATTATTGAGAAGTAAATAAAATTTACATAATTTATATGATAAAATAGGTGAACTGGGGAAAATATCAAACAATTTTTGGAATTTCAATTGAAGTGGTATTTGAAGGGTAACCAAGCCTTTGGACAATCAAGTCACACCATACCTGTGGGCCACTGATTGAAGGAAGGCCCAAGCCTATACAATTGTGGGTTGCAACTAACAATCTTTTCCATGCACATGAACATAAAAAAAAATCTTTTTAGATGACACTGTAACAATCAGGTGACAAGTATTGCCAGGACCTGACTTTAGCAGTATTGCTGAATGCAATGCATGTGCTGATCTGAGTCTGCAGCTGCTGCTACTGCTGCTCCCCTTCTCAGCAATCTATGGCAAGTGATGTGCCCCTGAATTGTCTTTCTGGAAGAGAAGATCCGGAAACCATAAAAGGATTTCTTCCAGGGTCTAGAGTCAGACAGACCTGGGCTTTGTGATCTTGGACAAGATACTTAATCTCTCTAGCCTCAGACTCTCCCATATGTAAAATGGGAATAGTAATAGTACTTTCCTCCTATAATAGTGGGGGAATTAAATGACTGAGTATGTATACAGCACTTAAATTTCTGCTGCCTAAATCTCTTATAGTAGTGGCTGCAGCTTACAGAGTCACCTGTCACTTGAGAGGTACACTGCACTTTCATCTCCCTCTATGGCCTTTTTCTGATATACAGGAAGAGCCTCTCTTGATTTGTGTAGGAATCTCAGCTGCAGCAAATTCTAGTAAATATTTTTTTAAAGCCTTTCAGTATGCAGGAAAACAGAATTTTTAATGGATAGAAAGAAAGAAATATACCTATAATCATATTTATTAAGAAAAGCAAAGCTACTGAACACATATAGTTATTACTGCAATAGCAAAATTTTATAAAGGATTTGTAATGAATCAGAATCAGTGTACTAATGATTGCCTTTTGGACCTCTCAAAGTTATGGGTATGTTCCTACCAATAAAAAATTGAGGAACAATTTTCTCTTTAAATGTTAAAGACCATCTTTTATAATAATCATTCAAACTTCTCAAAGGAAAGGCACCACTGGAAAAAGTCAAAAATTACATCAATATGAAGCTACTGTTACAAATCACAGATGTGAAAAACTGCACCCTGTGCTTTGAACAGAAACTGAAGATGTTATGGGAAATAATAACAAGATACTCACATTCCATAGTTAATATAATGCTTAAAATCATATTAGACAATGTAGTTATTAGCAACCTAAGTGTTCAAAAGAGCAGGTATCATATTTTACCATTTAACTTACTCTAAGATTCCAAATTAATTATGCAGCTAGTTTTCTAGAACCAAGCAGGAATCTGAGTTTTGTGAATGTTTATGAAGAGTAAAATCGGATGTTTATAAGACTAAAATCTGATGAATCTGCCTCCTATTCCACAAAGCAAAGCAGAAATGTTCTATATTTTGGGTAAAAGAGATAAATATGTACAAATAAGAAAGCATACCAAGGTCTCTCGTTTCAAAAATAAAGTACAGGGCCTCCCCGGTGGCACAGCAGGTTGAGCTCTGCTCTGTGAAGCTGTCCACAGCCTCTGCAGCATAGGTTTGATTCCCAGCCAGCCAGGGAGAAACCCATATGGTGCGGCAGACCTCTCCTGCCTCGCCGGCTGCTCCCCTCAGCAGTGTCTTTGGTCTGTCTGCCTGTTCTGTTCCCTGCTCTCTCTGGTGAATTCTCTCACCCTCCCGCTCCTCTGACCTGTACCCCAGTTCTTGTATAAATAAATAAATCTTTAAAAAAAAATTTTAAAAATAAAGTACACAATTTTCTAAAATATAAATTACCTAACCTTCATTGAACAGCTCAACAGTGAAGTAAAATGTCTACTAAAGGCATTTTTTCAAGTAATTTTTTTTGTACTTGATAGTAATAAGCCTGAGGGAAAGGCAGGAAAAATTAGATTCATTATCTAACCTCATAGCAATTATAAATTCAGAATAAACAAAATAAAATATTAATAGGGATGGGAAAGTATTCCCCCTAGCTCATAAGCACTTGGGGTGAACAATGAGTTCATGTGAGTGTGTATGCATTTGTGTGCATGTTACATGAAGATGAATATTTTTGAATAAAACATGGTAATAGTATAAAATAACCTTTACTGGCTTTTTTCAAATAAATTACAAGGTTTCTGAAGAGTAGTTTTGGTTATTAATTGCTCAGATATAATGAAGTCCTTTAGCAAGTAAAAGTTCCTTATTCTTGCAAAGACTCCCTATCTGGATTCTGGTAAGGCCTTAAGAGAGTCCAGGAAAGTTAAGACAAGGTATCAATCAACACAGCATATAGTGACACGAATGTCACCTTTAAAGACTGATCACTTTAAGTGGGAGGGAATGTGGAAGGGAGGGAGGAAAGTAGAAGGGAAGGAATTAGGGAGGGAGGGAGGGAGGGAGGGAAGGAGGGAGGGCCATTTTTGTTTTGTTTTGTTTTAGGTACCAACTTCATTAACTTGAATACATCAGGGGATTCCACCATTTACATTTGATTGTTTACACTTACAAGTCAGTGTTCTCGAAATGGCTGCTATTCTTATTATCCTTGATAAGTCTTATTTACCTGCCACAACCAAATATTGAATTAAGAACGTAGGGCGAGGAAGGGAGAGAAGCTTATATTATGTCAGGTGTATTTAATATCTTAATCTTCACCACAGACCAATAATAAAGGTACTCCCCCAATTTCACCAGAGAAACAGAGGTTCAGAGAGGTTAAGGTTAATTGCCCAGAGACCACACATCAGTTAGTCAGGGCCAGAGTTATGCTTCAAACATAGATTTGTCTGATATCCAAATTCAAGGCTTGTTTCCAAATAGCAAAGAACTGAATGTGGGCGGCGGGGTTGGGGGGGGGGAACAAGAGTTCTATCTCACTCTAAAGAGCAACTGAGGGCCTCCCTGGTGACTGAAGGAGTTAAGACGTAACCTATGAAGCTATCCACAGCCTCTGCAGCATGAGTTCAATTCCCAGATGACCAGGGAGATACCCACATGGCACAGCAGACCTCTCCTGTCTCACCCACTGCTCCCCTCAGCAGTGTATTTCAGTCAGTCTGCCTGTTCTGCTCCCCTCTCTGTCTCTGGCGAATCCTCTCAACCCCCCACCCCAACACCTCTGGCCTGTACCCCAATTCTTGTATGCAAAAATAAATAAATCTTAAAAAAAAAAAAGAGCAACTGAGATTGGAGAGAAAGAGATAGCCTATCTACCTGGTATATCTGAGCACAAAAGCAGGCAGCAATCATAAGAAATCAGAGATCACCAGCGATGGAAAATCAATTCAGCCTCAATCTTTGAAAAAACAGGAATCATTCAAAATGTAGATGGTCTCTGACATGGTGACTGAAGCCCTTTTAAATGTTTCTAGTAGCTGCACTGAATATGTGTTGAACAGATCAAGGAAAAGCAGTTACTCAGTCAAAGCAAGATTCCTAAGGTATGAAAACCAGTTTTTAGAAGAAATGCAGAGAAGATGAAAAAATTCACTGGTAACAGAAACACAATGTGGTGGTATTGATTGAAAGATACAGCAGATGTTTGTTTAGAAATGTCTCCTTTCACCTCCATTAATTTGAAGAGGTTTTTTTTTTACCGCTAATAGAATTCTATGTTATAGAACTAGTAGTTACCCAGGAATGCACTGAAGAACAATACCTTGGATTCTCCTACCCCAAAATATTAACAGAGCAAAAAACTATACCTAGAAACTTCAGATCTACAAAGTAATGCATTTTTAAAAACTTATGATATTAGTAATCAATCATCAGTTAAATGTCTGAAACACAATACTATAGTTTCTGAAATTGTGAGAGATGAAATTTTTTAATAGCTGCTGTTTCATATTTCACTTGCTTTGCTTTCTTTATCTAGCTTATTTCAATCATAAAATTGCAAATGGTCATTGTTAAGAGAGAAGTACTAATTGATCGTCATCAAAGCGCAAAGTAGGATACTGGGCACAGAGGATGGGAGTAGAAAATGTTCACAGAATTAAATGAAGAAGACTGTTGAAGGAACTTAGTGTGTAACTGAGAAAAGACTCATAATTTATTAAAGTTGTTTTTTAAAAAATCACAGAAAGTGCCTATTGTTAGGAATGGTTACTTATTAGTCTACCATTTTTTCCCATATGCTTAAAAATCTATTATAATGTTGGCTTTCAAACAGTTTCAAAATAAATTTTTATCTCACCACCAAAAGTCTAGTTTCAATCTATTATGCACTCGAGCCCCTTTACCTGTTACTCCCACCTCCCAGTCCCCTTCCTGTCTGGTGGCCATCAGTCTGTTTTATGAATTTAAGAATGTACTTTTGTTTTGTTTTGTTGGTTCATTTGCTTTGCTTTCTCCATTTAACCTATTTCATGGAGCAAATGGAAACATCTCATCTTTTTTAATAGCTAAGTAGTATTTCATTGCGCGTGTGTGATATATATATATATACATGCATACATCACATCTTCTTCATCCACAGACAGTAAGGTTATTTCCATAGCTTGACGACCATAAATAATGCTGTAATAACATAAGGGTTTTATTTTTTCATACCAGTATATTCAGATAAATATCCAAAAGTGGATTAGCTGGATTGTGTGGTATTTCTATTTTTAATTGAGAAATTTCCACACTGTTTTCCATCATGGCTACATCAATTTACATTACCATTAACAGAGCACAAGCGTTCCCTTTTGTCTACATCTGAGCCAACACTTGTTGTTTTGTGTCGTTTTGCTAACAGTCCTTTTAATAGGGTGAGGTGATATCTCACTGTGGTTCTGACTCTTATTTCCCTAATAATAAGTGCTGATAAACACCTTCTACGTGCCTATTGGTCATCTATATATTTTCTTTGGAGAAATGCCTATTCAGATGTTCTGCTCATTTTTTCAAACTTTTGACTATTACTCGTAGTAATAATTTCACATTGTGACCCAAAATACACATATATGTAAATATATTACTAACGAATTTCACACAATATTTATCCTTACTATGTGCTGTTTACTAGATATTTTCTATTCTAGCTTTTTTAAAAACACATTGATGGAGACACACCGATTTCATGATCTACAAATAAAGTCAAAAACCTTTGAAAAACTAACATATTTCCTTTCCACCCATCTTCTTCTCTCACATCCTCCCCTTCACTCCCAGGCTCACCATCCAAAAAACCAACAATAATAATTTCCCTATTGGAGCCAAGCAATGTATGAGTCACTAAAATATATGTGATGAACTGAAAACAGAGCTAGAAAAAGAAATATTTGTATATTCAAAGACTGGAGGAAATCATTTCTGAGTGACATTTTAATTCACCTTGGCTACTGACCCATCGTTGCATAGACAAAGTAGTGGCACAAAAGGAAAAGGAAATTACTTATCTGTAGTTCAATGAGCAGATGGGTACCTGAGCTTCTCAATTAAACATACGAGGTTATGAGAAAACCGCCTGTGGTGCTATTGGGTCAGGTCTGTGTGAAACAAAGAGTCATACTGCTTTAAATTCTCATAGAAAAAAAAAAAAAAAAAAAGCAAAAAAGAAGCAGTGTTCCTGAAGTCACGTTTCTAAAACAGTTCAAAGGCAGAACCAATAAATACACTTCCCTGGGACTAGCTATTACCATTCTAGCCAGCAAGCACAGTCAATTCTACAGACCTGGTTCAGTAGCTAAGCATCAAGTTTCAAACATATACTGTTTGCATATTTATTTGTACATATTGTTGGACGCTATCAGATAATAACTCAATGCCACTTAGAAGTTTTTAACTCTTCCATCAAGCAGTGAAGTGCTTGGTGAATAAAACGAAATCAAATTTGCTGTAAGCTTTGTTAGTATATTTCTCATTACATTTTCCCATGTGCCCAAGAAACGAGAGCAAACCTTTACAACTTCTCTCATGTCACATGGTAGCTCACAATTTTGCGGTCCTCTACAGATCAAAATCAATACAAGCTTAACAAAATACTCTCAACATTGTTTTAAAAAAAAAAATAACTCAGACTATAAGGAACTAGGAAATTTTTTTATGAAGTTTTAAATTACTAGTTGTCCTCATGATCAGACAGCAATAAACAACCTGTATTGTACTCTGGTTTATTACTTAACATAAGGACATTTTTAAGATGTAAATAGTAAATCCATTTACACATTTCTTCTCATCCTAGTCCTTCTACAGTCATCCTCTTTTCACTCCTACAAATTTCAGTTTTAAATTTTGACACAAACTAAAACATCGTTAACTGAATCTTCTGTTTATTGAGCAAAAACTATGAAAAGAAAAAAAAAAAGAAAACCTTAAAATAAAATAAAAACACACTACTCAGGAAAAAATAGTAAGCCTCCTGATTAGTTACATTCCTCACCATTGAACCACAGAGTCATAATTTGTTCTTTTTTTGAGGCACCTACCCACTGTCTATGCAAGGGTAGCCAAGTACCTTCTGTTACTTGAAGGAGAGAAAATCACATCCTAGGAAGATCTGGCTGGTTCCTTTTGAATGACGAATAAAGACAAGTGCAGATAAAGACTCTACGTGGCACAGAAAAGTTAAATAACCACCTATACAGACTTAGTCTGTTTTTCTATATGAATAGTCTTTAAGTTTCTGTATCAAATAGTAAGATAGCACTGAGAAAAGTATCAACATTTCTTCTTTTTTACTTAACCTATTTTTTTATCTGAACCTATTAAAGTTCCTACGATTATGTATTATTTACAATGTAATATATTGATATAATATTAATATAGTAATGTATAAATTATAACTAAGCATTTGTTTATGAGGGAGGGTGGGCTATTATATTTTTTTTCCTCATGTGAATGTGAAATCAAAAAGCAACTTAGAGATCGAGTTATATGTTCTATCTCCTGCCCACCTGTACTATCCACAATAATTCATTTTTTAACAACTTTATCTTTTTTCTTTTAGAAGAAAAAAGCAGGTGTGCAGTCTCAAAGAATTATTTGTCCTCCCATTATTCACAATAGCTAAAATGTAAGCAACCTTGTGTCCATCAATGGATTGAATGGATAAACAAAATATGGTACATACATACAATGGAATATTAATCAGCTTTGAAAAAGAAAGGATTTTTTTTAAAGATTTATTTATTTATCCATACAAGAACTTGGGTACAGGCCAGAGATGTAGGGGGGGGGGTGAAAGGATTCACTAGAGACAGAGTGGGGAAACAGAACAGGCAGATCCACTGAAACACACTGTTGAGGGGAGCAGCGGGTAAGTCAGGAGAGGTCTGCTACGCCATGTGGGTAGCTCCTTGGCCGGGGATTGAACTTGTGCTGCAGTGGCTGCAGACAGCCTCATAGATTGCATCTTAACCCCTTTAGCCACCAGGGAGGCCCAAGAAAGGATATTTTGACATACATCACAAAATTGGATAAATCTTGAGGACATTATACCAGGTAGAATAAGTCAGTCACAAAAAAAAAAAAAAAAAAAAAACACCATAATTGCATGACCACATTTACATGAAGTACTTAGAGTGTTCAAAATCATAGCAACAGGAAATAGGTGGCTGCCAAGGCTGCAGTGAGAGGGGAGTGTGGAGTTACTGTTTTAATGGTTATCGAGCTTCAATGTTACAAAAGGAAGTGGTATAGGGATGAATGGTAATAATGGTTTCATACAATATTATAAATGTATGTAATACCACTGCCACTGTACACTGAAAAATGGCAAAATGGTAAATGTTACATTATGTGTACTTTACCACAATTTCAAAAGTTGGGGGTGAGAAGCTGGGGAACAGACCACAGATGATCAGACACTCCATTCATGTAACCACTATTCATTCCAAAATATTATCAAGTGTTTATCTTGTGCCATGCATTATATAAATTCTACAAAACAATACCTAACTTTAAGGAGGTTAGAAATATAAACTTCAAGTAAACAAATCACTGCCAGGTAATATTACAAGAATAATAATAGAGACGGTCAAGAGTTAGCATTCTCTATCAGGTACTCACTCTGTATTAAGTGCTGTTCTAACAATATGAGAAAGAGGGTATTATAATCTCCATTTCACCAAAAATGAAACTGGGGTCCAAGAAAGTGAAGGAACATACCCAAGATCACACATCTTATAAACTGGTGAATCCGGCAGTTTGATTGTAGTTCCCCTGCTTTAAACCACTCTCCTTGCAGTGGTGGTAAAAAGGGGCTGCAAGCAAAACAGAACTCAGCATCCTACTGCATGCTGCTGTTTGCTAGGTGTCCCCAACTGGCAACTAAATACTTTCAGTTTAATTGCCTGCTGAAACAAAATCATCTTAAAAAAGCAACACAACAATGAAAGGCCACCATTGCTAATTAGACTTGTCATCTTTAACAATGCTTTGAATAATGATATTGCACTCTATGTTATGTGCCAAGAGAAGTTACTTCACACTAGGCAACAAAACATTTTTGTTCATACAAAAGTGCTCCCTTGCTTAAGTCACACTGAAATGAATGTACAGAACACAACATGGAGCAGTCTTGAGCTGACTAGACGTCTGATTTTCAGATTTTGTATGTTTAAGAGTCGGTAACTCTTGGGGCTCCCTGGTGGCACAAGGGGTTTAGCACCGCACTATGAAGCTGTCTGCAGCCTCTGCAGCACGAGTTCAATCCCCAGCCGGCCAGGGAGCAACCCACATGGCGCAGCAGACCTCTCCTGACTCGCCCGCTGCTCCCCTCAGCAGTGTACTTGGGTCAATCTGTTCTGTTCCCCAGCTCTGTCTCTGGTGAATCCTCTCATCCCCCACATCTCTAGCCTGTACCCGAGCTCTTGTATGCATACATAAATAAATCTTAAAAAAAAAAAAGAGTCAGTAACTCTTGTGTAATCATTTGTAAATATTATCAGCTTCTCTATGACCTCTCAGACATT